TTTTTTGCTTTTTTTGGTAAAGAACTTTATTATGAACTTTGCATAACTTTCTATGACTTTATGTTATGAAATCTATAGACCACGAAGCAAGCGAAGCATGAATTAATGACTATTATTCTGTTTCAAAATTATCCTGCATGAGATGCTAAAGACTACTGTTATAGTGCTTTTGGTTTAGTAAAACTACTCTAGTATATAAAATATAGTAGATAGCTGGTATAGTCTTGTTATGACAGCTAATTATTAATAGTGCCCATAGGTTTGATTGGAATGTCTAATATGACACCCTACCTATATCGACTTTTGCTTTTCATATATTGGCCACATTAAGTATTTTGTCGGTGTCTAAATTTTCGGTTGGGAGGTACAGTTAATGATATACGTTATGATTTTGTTTCGACCTATTCCCGAAATCACCGGATCGTCTGAAAAGCTAGCCCTCTTTTCCCGGTAGGAATTTCCGAATGGACAGTTTGTGTACCATCATTTTCACATTCCATGCGTTTCATACCAGTTCCTCAGACCCTCGTCAGGACGATCACAGSCAATGCCAAAGCTCTTGATACGATGCTGCGGGGACTTTCGTTGTAAATGGAACACTCCAGCTCCAAGCGGACCTTTTCCATTCGAGATATTTGCTTTCCATTTGAATGYCTAAATATTGATCAATATGAAAGTGAGATGACGTAAATTCAAGAATGGGTTACATTTTGCAGTGTTATTTACGGCCAGTGTTCTGAAGTGAAATATAAACCAAAAAGCGTATACAAAACCATATATTTCGGTTATAAAGGGTATGATTTATGCAAGTGAAAAAACAGCAAGAGTTCTTTCCACAACAGCACTTTTGTATGGAATAAATGAGTCTTGAATTTACGTCTGATTTTCATTTTGGAATTTCAAATGTTTATAACCATACTACTTCACTGTTCATATACACTCAATTAAAGAATCGCTGTCGGGTTCAGAAACATAGAACATAGAAGCTGAGACCGAAATGGCACATGGGAATTCGAAGTACGTTAATTAGATGCATGTTGTGACCGGCGACCCGTGGCATCATTCACTGTTTTTAATACGCGTTTGGCATTCTAAACCGACTGCATGGATGACGCAAATGAAAAAATTATAATATAATTATGTAATAATAATAATAATAATAATAATAATAATAATAAAATTTATTTATACACGATAAGTTATATACATGTGCCATTTCGGTCTCAGTTTTTATATTCTATGTTTCTGAACCCGACAACGATTCTTCAATTGAGTGTATACATTCAACTCTCGTTACAGCAGACACATTCACTTGGGACCGCCACTTATTATTGGTGGCCGTAATAGCGAGCGTCCGYAATAGCGAGGATTAATTACGGTCATTTCTTTGTCAGTTTTTATTGTCGGGGAATTTTCTCCTGTCCGTAATAGCAAGGTGTCCGTAATATTGGGGTGTCCGCAAGGCGAGAGTTGACTGTRAGTGATTTTGAAAATATAATTTTTTTCCCGATATACTTTTTAAGTTGTTTCCTTCAMTCTTCACATGCAGTTTCCGTTAGTTTTATCATTTTTTGAATTATTTTATTTTGCTCTTTCTAGTATCGTAGCTATTTTTCTGTAGTACTAATTTTTAAAATAATAGCTAATAAAATTAAATAGCATTATTTTAGTACTTCAGTTGATGGCATTTGCTTTACTTTCCTAGGAACAAGAGAAACTGCTGTTTGGAACTAACATGCTTGATACAACTAGACATAGGGTCGGCCATGTTGAGGCATCACGAATACAAGTGGAAGAAACTGGCGTACCAGTAACACTTAGAGATGACGTCCATGCAC